TAAGTCGCCTTACTCTCGGCGATGTGTCAACACGAAGTGATAAATTATCTGAGTAAATAAAGAAGTGGATGGCACTCATGGAGCGCCGTACTATCCCTTGAATTTCGTGAAGATTTCATTCTCTGAAGTTGTACTGTGTCATCTGTTTTTTTTAATGTTTTTATTTTATAGAATCCCAAGAAACAAAGTGCTAAGAAACAAATGGCTGTTAATGCTAAGGCGCGTGGACCCGCAGACTAAGAACCTATGGCAGCCGCGATGCAGCTAGGCCCTACATCATTCTGCTCGGAGCACTTTCTGCCAGAAAGTTTCCATGACGGACCAGTCAGGAGGTGGCTCAAGAGGGACGCGGTGCCGACCATTTTCCCTTTCATTGGAGCTCCACACTGCCAAGTATAGATGAGCATCGCCAGGAGTTTCTTTTCAAATGCGGGTGGGGGTTTCGTTTGACGCTTGGGGCGCTGTTCAAAACTGTAAACAATTACGGTTTCTTATTTTGGGGGCCTTTTAAGGCCTCTCCCCGGCATTTTCTGTCGTTTAGAATACGATATATTAGAATAAATTATTAACTCCAACCCTCGTCGTTCCCCCTAGTAGGCCTACCCCTCTTTGGTGGGGATCGGCAAAGGGGGAAGGGCGAAGGGGGCGGCAAGTTTCCCCTTTGCGTCTGAACCCCTCACCCCTCCCTGCGATGCCAACGATATTGTACATAGCACAATTTGGTTGTTCATGTTTTTGGCAGAAGACTTTGATTTGAGAATAATTTTCATTTTCTTTGACAATGATATCAGAAAGAATGTTTAATAATTGATCTTTCGATTTATCATCTCGGATGCAAAGTAGGTAACAACGCGTTAATTGATTCATTAATAGAACACTGGCTTGATTTGCAGGGTATGTCGTCTAGTGTGTTTGATCAGAATGAAAAATGTACAGCACACTAAGTCTCATCAAAAACTGGTATCGAACTCAGTTGCTTTGGATTGCTAAAATCAGTTACTACACTGTAGACGTCTAAAATAATAGTGTTCATTCAATGCATACTTTATTATTTTTTAAATTCATACCTTCGCTTCTGCAGTTGTCATTTGCCAGAACATGCATTATCTCAGGTACCTCGAACCTTCTGTTTCCAAAAGCTAAATCGCGTTCCTACTATTTATCCCACCCTTTAGAATGTGACAAAGGAAAGAACTACCTTGACGTCCATTATTGCGATGGCCCCCGTTCACAGACCCCAACCAACATTGAGTGACATACGGATGAGCATCAAATTGGTAAGTAGACCCCAAGACTCAGTCGTAGTCCTAATGTATCGTGTCAACCGGAGAAAGGTATTATTATTAAATATGATGTCCCTTGTCCTGTGGACGTTGGATTCTTGCATTATGATACTCCGTCACTCTGGGCGGTTTCTTGAGAGCTGCACAGCCTCGACTAACGTCAATTGGACTTCTCGTTTGCACAATATTTGATGATCCATCATTTGCGTCTGATACCGTGAGCTCGCCTCCCTTGCACAGCATCTTAGAGAGCCGTGTATAGTAGTCGAACTGCTCACATGCGGACGATGTACCCTAACCACTCTGCCTGTCTTCGTAAAACATTCGAAAACAGATTTTCTGTTAATATTCCTCGCAGTTGGCTAAGTACCTCCGTGTTCGTAATCCTAAATAAAAGGACAAATTTCGAAATAATGTCGGATTATCTGTTTAACATTTTCAAATTTTTTAGGATCATGACTATGCAAGCCCTGTGAGCATTGAACGGAAGATGGAGCAGACACAGAGACTGCTGGACAATGCTTGACAGGAGTTGCGAGCTGTCAAACTGCGTCTTGCACGTCGTGAGCTAGCACCGAAGAATGTCACCAACAAACTGGAAGATATCATGATACTTGGTTGGGAACAAAGCCATGTTGACCCAAACAAACCCAACTGAGTTCTAATAAGCAGCGCGAATTTCCCCCTTTGAATGGTGTGAGTTATTGTATTCCAAAAAAATATGTAACTCTAAACAACTTCAGTCTAACATCCCGTCTGTGATACACCCATGGCATAAAGAAATCCCTGCCTTGAAAAAAAATCAAGTTTAACATTTGTTACAAATTAAACCAAATATAAGTACATGAAACCTATGAAAGTATATTAAATCAATGTAAACGTCACACAAAAACGGTAAATAAATAGTGCTTAAATCTCCTCCATTTTTCTGTAATTGAATTCGCACACTGCCATTCTGAACTTATATCCAGTGAGTTAAGTCTTCCTTTACCAATTCTGTTTAATTTTCAAATAAATTCCAAATAGCATTTGATTCTTTCAGATTTTTGTTTTCAATCTCATCATGTACATTAAATTGGAATGCTAAACCCGTATCTCAAAAAAAAATGCATCCCGAGTCGTATGGCTCATTTATGGACGGTTTTGAAAAGGGTTCACATAAATGAGAAGAAAAACTGATTAAAATATTCTTTTAATTGTCCAGTTAATCCATGTATCACATTGTGACATTGAGGCTTCTACTAAAGTTTGGTTCGATAAATTCTGTTTAATGTTATCTCCTATCTGTGAACTTTAAAGGCATATGGGAAGATTTTGCTTTTGTAACTTCAACATTTCCATTTCTTTTGGTGCATTTTTGCTTCGTTTTAAGCAGCAAAGTTTTTATTGCTCCAAAGTAATGTTAAGAAGAGAGCATAACAACTAACTTGTAGTTTCAGATATACAATTTTAGAAAACAGAGAAAATAGGTATGCACAATTTTTAGGGTTTCGTAAACTGGATTCCGTTGCTAACGCTCGTAAGATTTTCTTAAACTACATTGTAACTCAATTATTGTTTTCTTCTGAATGATTCCATTTCAACTGGATTAAATTCACATACTTCCAGTCCTGTCTGCAATTTGAGCAAGGATTTTCTCATTAAATTAGTAGATCCGAGTAATCAGTATAGATTCCGGGTAATGTGCCACTGTGCCACTGTGCCACTTTTTACAAGGCGGTTTGCGAAAAGAAATGCAGGTGCAAGGTTTTTTAAATTAACCTCCTCTCTATTTAGCGATATGTATCATGTATGTGATGTTAGTAGTGTGCTCAACATGCATGTACTGATACTATAGTTTTATTAGCGATTTAGATGATGAGCATTTAAGATTTATGATTTTATGATTTATGAGTTTATGATTTCTTCAATTTTGTAACGTTTAATCTTGAATTTAGCGGTTCAAACTAAATCAGATTTATACTTCAATGTATATTCTATATTATATGGACCTTTAAAGATATAGTCCATCATTTGTAATTTGTGCATTTTGTTCGTTCGAAGCAACAAACGTTCTCAAAATCGAAAGAATTGTGATAAACAACTAAGCTGATGAAGTTTCAGCTAAGCTTCAGCTGTATTTTTCGAGAAAAACAACATTCTAAGATCTCGTTATCAAATCAAAAGTTGCTGAATCATGTTTTGAATTGGGCCTGAATTCAGCGTCCGAGACACGTTCGCACTGAGCCGAATGCAGCTACGCGATGTCGCGCACTGATCCGACGAATTCATAGAGGGCGCGCGTGCGTGTGCGTCGTTTCAACGCTTGCGCGCTCTTCGCTCTACTAACGGAAATTTCCAACGGTGCGTCTTAAGACGCACCGTTGGAAAGGCCTTCTTTCGTTGATTTCTTCAAACTGACAGCATGCCAGAAAGAATAATTTCACAGGGAGTTTAGTCCCCTTACTATCTTTCAACCTAGTATGTTTTTCAACAATAATTACGTCAGTCACTTTTTGGATAGCTGCTCTTGAAATGATGGACTATAGCTTTAAGGCTTTAATCTATTCACTCCATATTTTTTTTCTTCTGAATTTCACCTTCAAAGTCATTGCGATCTGGCCAAATTATATGAATTTATAATAAATGATAAGATTAAAGGACAATTTTGAAATCATTTACATTATTTGACTCATCCAACAATTTCCTTAAGTATAACGTGCACAAAAAGAGAGATTACAACAGCGATGCAGCTAAGCGATGAATAGTCTGGTTTGGTTTTTTTTTTATGTCCTAACACTGTTATCCCTAACTATTTTAAACATTTCTTTCATTTACGCAAAAACGAAGAAAACGACGGAAATATTCAGACTGGAGTACCGAGGTGTGTTGTGGATGATGGCACGATACCCCGAAGACGTTCTGCAGCCAACTTGCCATCGGCTTAAGACCCTGTTCTCCGCTTCAAAGACGTCTGCAGATGCGACATGAAACAGTGCGACATTGATCCAACTAATTGGGAGCCTGCCACGAACGAAGGCCAAGCATGCAGGGCTAGAGTACGCACAGGAGTCACGAAGAGTGAGGAAAAGCGCTGCAACATCTGGCAGGAAAAGGATGGGAGACGAAAGAGAAGAGCTCGCAACGGAATTGATCAGCCTTTACATGTGGCCCTAGCAGAGACTGTCTCTCTAGAATAGGATTCTACAGCCAGAGAGGGCGCTGTCCCACCAATCAATGTCTCTCGAGACAAGGAGGCCAACAACTGCATATATTGGCTGGATATATGATTGTGACATTTTAACTTTCACGCCGCGACGTCTTGATTGTGTTATTACCCCAGACACCCCACACAAAAACAAACACTTATTAAAAGCACAGCCCAGACTATTCCGCTAATAATGTGCAAGATTTTTGAACATGCAAATGATCCAATGCTAGGGTGAGAAAGCAGGTAGTAATGGGAGCGCACTACTGGTGCAAAGGTTGGTACAAAGCAGTCACAGATCTGGGCATGTGCAGTTGCATTTGGTGACGTCATTTTTGAAGTTGTTTGTCCCCCTTTTTGTCCCCACACGAAGTATTGCAAACTTTTACCCACTTTAGGAATCACAAAGGACTCTCAGGCTGTACTCTTCACGCATGGATGCCTCAGAATAGTCGGCATTGTCCGCTCCAGCCAGACTTATAAATCAACATGAGAAAAAAACTAAATATGCAGCTACTGCGCTAGAATATTCGTGTATGCCTACACATACTTCTATATGTTCCGGGTATGGCGAGGATCACTATTTCCTATGTCACACATGTACGGGGCGATTTAACACAGGGACTGTGACCGTACTTGTTTACTTTTGCTGATAATCATTCGAAATCGTGATTCGAAACCTGTGGAAGAAGTACTTCCAGGTGTGAGTGACCATCATTCACTTGGTACGTATGCGGAGTTGTTGGTTATTTTTTTCAGCAAAATAACCCAGCATTTACACTCAGATTTTAGTAGCTGATGATGACATAGTTGACAAGTTCAATAGTGAACGGCTCCTTATCGAAGGTTGTATAGGGAACAGAAACTTGTATTTTGGAAAGTTCGAAAGCGGAGTGCGTAATTTGCCCCTAAAGTTGGCAAACCGAATTTCACGATTGTATTAGACTTTTGTTTGCATACGAATTTGGAAAAGGTTGCAAATAAAAATGGAAAACGGACGTACAAAGTACTGGCATTTAAAGTGATAAGTGATAATTTAATTCCACATAATTATTAAGTGATAATCTCTTTTTCAAGTTCAAGGCTTAGTTCCATTATTTTTCTGTCACCTTGACGAGATAGGAATATCTATATTTAAAGGTATTGTCGGGACATTTCCCGGAATATGTGTGCCCTCTGTCTGCAACTATATTATCTGCAACCCAACAACGAAATAAAACACCACACATCTTTTCTCTTGTTCTGAACTTAAACTATTCATATCATCTTGTTTACAGATATTTACAACGCCATTCCTTATTACTGTTACTTCGGCCGATTAATCAAACAAATATTTCGCAACTTCTTATACTTTCAATCTTCCACTAAATTCTTCAGGTAATTAATTTTTGTTTAATGAGATTTGCACGGTTTGACTTTCTTAATTGGAAATAAATACTTTGTACCATTTTAAGGAGCGTTGGACGGATAGCAAGGATATCTATCAAGATCGTCTAAGACCCAAGCTCGATCTTGGAAACACCTCGGTGTCCTACGGCCTCTCTCAGTACAGTCTAGTCTAGACGATAAGTTCTTCTTGGTACCCTTCACACAACTTCTTCAAATATTATTAAACAAACATTTCAAGAGTCACTCTTTTGATACTTGATAATACCTTTTTTGTAAAATTAATCATCTTTAAATCATATTAAAATGTATACAAATCCATTATTTGGTCTCAATAAACTCCCTTAAATTAGTGTTCAAAGTTATTAAAAAAAAAAAAGTTTAAAATTAACACTTACGGACGTTTGATTCTCCGAACTGCATGCAGAAGTGTGCTCCTGTGTGTTTTCTTGAACGATGATGCTCTCAAATTAAGGGATACTGTTCGTGATAATTTTCCCTTGTATATTCATATTTTAACTCTCATTTCTAAATATTTCTATTGTGCAATTTACGCAAAATTTAGGTTATAATATTGGTGTAGGGCTACTTTTCTCCTGTTCTTCCCCCTTCCCCCTCCTTTTTGTGGGCGGGGTGGATTAGGGGTGGTAAGTCGCTCGAGAACCCCTTGGATAACTACATGTAATTGTTTTGATGTGATTAACGTTTTATCTTAGTTGTTTTCAATTGTATTTTACCATTCCACATGGTAAAATACAAAAAGGAATCCCACTTTTGACAGGAATTTTAACCTATATATACTTACTAAACTATAACTGTTTTTGTGGTTATAATGTAATGAAGTATATAGCTCCTCATGAACTGTACATGGTGAAAAAAAATCTTTAAATAATCGCAAGAATAGTGTTATTATGCTAATTTGAATACAAGTCACAAAAGTCACTGTTGTCCACGTGTATTGTTTATTGTCTTCAAATCAAGCTCCGGAGCTCAGTCAAGCAGATTGAATAAAGCCGTCCGTGGACAAACAGGTTTGGCACATGAACATTTTGAAACTACATTTGCAATCCTTTTTCGTCACTTGTGTTTAAAAATTAATATTTTAATACCATTAAATTGAAATATTGAAATATCCTCAACAAGTAGGTGAAAACTGCTGTCAAAAGTGGGTTTCCTTCTTTTTGAACCACCATGTACAGTAGTGCACATCTAGCTGTCTGCCTGGCTCCATTGTCGACATCATGTCAACTGCCCGCTGCGTATCTTGGCTGGTACTCGGCATTCTTCTCGTCTGCCTGGTACCCGCTTGTTACTCCCAGAACGAGGAAGTTCTGCGTAAAATCCAACGGCCCTATCCGAAAAGCTTCAACTGGAAAGGTAATTTCGGCATGTTTTCCGTCATTTCTATGTATCAAATGAATCCGTGGATAACCGGTGATACTAAGACTAGGCAACGGGGCCTCTGGACAATGAAAGGAATAAAAGGAATAACAGAACATGATATCAATAAAATGGAATTACAATTTTTTGAAACTGTAATTCATTTTCCAGTTCAATACATGTGATTCCATTTAATAAATACCCTGTTTAGTTATTCCTTATATTTCTTTCATTGTCCAGAGGCCCATTGTTGCCATGGTGTTGATAGAGAGAGGTTCCTGAACATTGTGTTGGTAGTGAGTGGGTTAGTCACAAGGAAATGCCTGTGCATATGGGCGTCGCGGGGGGGGGGGGGCAAGGGGGGCGCTTGCTAATACCCAGACCGAATGTTGGCCGAAGAGAGAAAAAAAACACTGGTAACCTTTCCCGTTTTTGTGGGAGACAACGGCATGTCTAAAGTAACATTTTTTTTAATCACCTTGTACAATTCTGCCGCTAAAAACAATACTATGAGTACATTATAATGTCACTGTTTTATTCTCAAACAAGAAATAATAGTGTAATAGCAAAATGAGATAACAGTTTCCAAGCCTTGATTATAACAAATCGACTGGTGTGCTATACAGATGTATCTGGTTCAATCATGACGCATGGACCCAATGCTTCAGTCATCGACGGCAAGTACTACCGCACGCTGGAATTGATCAATGATCAACTCTTCGTGGGGGGTAAAGCTCAACTGTTTTCCGTCAACCCTGCAAACCTAGAAATGGTAAGAAAAAAATCCGAAGAAGCAAAACCAATAGAGAGACCAAGCAAGCAAGCAGGCAAGCAAACTAAAAGGAAAACAGGCAAACGGGCCATCACGCAAGCAATAAAGCATTTTAGCAAGTAAATACTCATCAGGCAGCAGGCAAGTAGCAGGTAGCATTTTTTTCTGCGGCCAATGATTTTGGGCAAATTGTTTTTGAAAAAGATTTGACTTCTAACAAACTGAAACAACAAATTGTGAGCTCCCCAAACCAAATCCTGGGTGCGCCACTGGGCAGGCAGACAGCAGGCAGGCAGCAGAGAGGCACGCTACTTAGCAGTGGCGTAGCCACGGGGGGAGTGGGGGGGGGGCGACAGCCCCCCCCCCCCCATGAAACGTTGTCGCCCCCCCCCCGTCGCCCCCCCTCCCCACTGAGATTTTGAGTTTCTAAAAAAATTATCATTGATCTACATGACGCCCCCCATGAAATGTTCAAGCCCCCCCCCCCCACCCCAGCGCCGCCCCCCCCCCCCTGAAAAATTCCTGGCTACGCCACTGCTACTTAGCTATAGCTACCTAGATGGATTACTGCCACAAATGTCAAACTAATATTCATAAATACCTAAGACAGTTTACGCATTCCTATTGGTCGAGAGCCCGTCACGTGGCCGGTCTTAAACGGATGATAAAGATATGGCTAGCTGGTCTTAAACACTTTTCCAGTGTCACATGAATTTGGACTCCCATAACATCCGGTGCCTTTTAACGTTTCATTGGTTGAATATTCACATTCCTCACGCATGCATGCGCAATGTACTACCAGTGAATCAGTATTTCATAGTCCGAAATTCACATTACACCAGCCCAGCTGCATTTTGCGCGACTAGGCGCAGTAAGCGCGACGCGCACGCAATGTCCTTATAAGGTAACGAGTTGTAGAGGGGCATTCCATATTATAGTCAGAGTAAGTAAAATTGTTGAAAAAAATGGTTGGTAACGTCTAGTTTTTGATTTCTTTTGATTTTTGGAACGAAGGATTTGGGTTTTTCATTGAAAAGGTATTTATGAATAATGATAAATATGTGCTCGGTCGGTATTAAACACTCTGTTTAAGACCGGTGTGGAGCCTGGATGGGTGATAATTACCCATCCAGACTCCCACCTGTCATAAACAGAGTGTTATAATACCTCCCGAATACACATTTATTCCCTTAATAAAACAAACTTTGTGCAATAGGTACCCTGATAATTATAATTGATTCGTATTCTGTTCAGTGTTTTATCAAGTGATTTCAATGTGCTAATAACACAATTAACACAGTATTAAATTCTACACTTTGGGACTAATGTACAACATAAATATCGGATTTTAAAGTGTCTATGTAATGATTTTGGTGAACCTGTTATTTTTGTTTTCAAATTTACAGCTTAATAACGTATCCATTCCGACCAATGGAGGCTATTCGTGCCATGATCATGTAAGTCTAGTAGAATTGTTTATAATTTCCACAATTTCCAACATTTGCACTTAAATTGTCAAAAAAAGTCTGCATGAGAAGATGCAGACGTTTTTGTCAATTGAAGTGTTTTGAGATTTGTTTTAAAATGACTTATTGTGTACAGTTTTCAGTTTGAAATGGTTTTCGCATTAAACTCACCTACCACTGTCTGCCTCTGAATGACTTTTTGTCCCAAATACTTCAAATCAGTGCATTGTCAAATTGTCTGGATAACTCCTGCTCCTTGCCCATCCCTTCGACCACCAATGGACGGAAAACTAAGGACCATTAAAAATGGTACGCGTACGTATATGTTCGGATATAAATTTCTCAAATTAATTTTAATTTAAATTTTGCACGAATCTGTCTTGAAGGGTAATTTGAAGTAGGAATGTGGAGATTGCCTTAGCAATGTTTACTGCATTTCTTGACTTTATTTTAGTGTGTATCATTATAAGTGATGACCAACAAGCTCTGCAATAATCACAAAGTGGTATTCTATTACTGTGCTTGAGCAGTTTATACGAAGCTTCTGTTGATAAAGGGCAACATCTTACAGTGCATGCGAGTCAAACAACTATACACTTTTAAATTAACCATAGTTTTATTTGGTAGCAACATAGATGAGATATTTTCATAGGTACTTTTGGAGTAACTCTTCCCGCTTTTTTTTTGGTGACATTTTTACTGGATTGGTGTTCAAGTATGACTGCACAGGAGACAATTAAAGAGGTCGGGTGAAATCTGACTTGCGCCAACTGATCAGGGCTGGATAAGGAAGAGACAATTCAAAAGAACACAACCATTGTCTAACAAAGAGACAAAACAGGATTTCATTAGCTTTTAAACTTTGTGATTATTTAAAACATTTAAAAGCAATTGAAAAGGCAATTAAATTCCACGGTGTCTTAGTCCTCAACAAAGCCACCATCTCGTTCAATGCACATAGCTGGGCTCGGCGCATCATTCCTGCAACAGCACGGCGAATCACATCCCTGTCTTGTCTGAGAATGTCAATTTCACGAGTTATCCTTTCCTGGAGGTCATCCAGATTTGCCTTTGAAACTCTTGCAAGCAAGATCCGCAAATCTAAACTGATTATGCGTTCCATGACCAGAACCAAGACAATGGTTCAATTGGTGTTCTTTTAAATTCTCATTCTTATCCAGCCCTGACCAGTTGGCGCAAGTCAGATTTCACCCGACCCCTTTAATTGTCTCCTGTGCAGTCGTGCATGAAAACTAATGTACTAATGCAAATATACTTTTATATCCGCATTGAATAAAACTATGGCCAATTTTAAAAGTGTATAGGTTCTTTTTACTCACACTGTACACTGACAATGTCCTCACAATCTGCTGTTATGCTTAATTTTACTGGTGCAGTCGATGTCGTTCCCTTGTGGCAATAGTGTGGCGGTTAGTTACTGCTGTCTTGTCATCTTTTGATATTAACTTGGGGAATAATGGATGATTTTTTTTCCCCTGAAAACAGGATTTGTGTGATGACTTGTGAAATATGTACTATGCAACAATATCTGCTCCATCATGTTTTTCTTTAATTCAGGGTAATTAAAACATTAAGTTAACTACATTGATTAGTAAAACTTGTTCAGAATGTTGTCCATAGTTTCTCTGTATAAAAAAAAACAAAAGGAAAATCAGAGAAAACAACGTTTTAATTACCGAATAACTATAGAAATTACCTCTTTGTTTTTTAATATCATCATCAACTTCTCCAACATCATTCAACATTGTCATTTTGGATGTGTCTGACAGTGTGATAACTACATTCGCGTGATTCAACCTCTCCCTAACGGTGCATTGTTGGAGTGCGGCACGAACAATAGAAACCCCTACTGTCAACAGAGATCCATTGGAGACGTAAGTACAATATTTTGATGATAATAACATCAATGACAGTCACGTGATGCGGCTAGCTGGCTAATACAACCAACTCAACTTTTGTTTCAAATTCAAGTCCCCAGAAACAACACATAAGTCAATATTATGATAGAAAATAATATTTTATGGCAACGATAATAGCCAAGTGTATTAGGTTGGAAGATTAGATAGAGGACTGAAAACATTGTTTGAAAATGTATTTGGTTGTATCGTGCGATTTCCTCTGTTATTTGCTATATTTACTGTTTTAAGGTAAGAAATTTAGATTTCTACGAGGAAGGGTGCTGGCTGAAAATCAAAACTGTCGGGTTCTTCTTTGCCCCCCCCCCCTCCTCCTTAATTTCAATGTCGTGATCAAGCTCGTTTCTTTCCAGTTGTCAGTGGCCTCCACTCCCAGGATCCAATTTGCTCCTTCCTTCAGTGTTGCTCCTTTTATCTACAATCAGAATTTCACTGGCTGGTTTCTAACTGAAGGTATGCACTAAAAAAAACCCAAAACAAACATTTTATTTAAATGTATTGATTATAATGTTGATAATTAAAATGCTAAATAAAACGCATACAAAGCGTATAACTTATTATGTATGAACCCGGTACCTTTCCACTGTAAGCTTCATTTGTGCAAGTTGCATTAGACCTTCAGGTGAGTAAAAACAACCGCATTTTTTTATCAAGTTAATTTTCTCAGAAATAGAATAACAGAATTATGCCACGGTTCATCTGAATAGATCATGCTGCGCGGAGCTAAGCATTGCGATTATGTAAGCACTTGTTCATTGTGTTCTCAATTTATTACTGTTCCAAGCTCTTGGAATAGACAATAACCAGCACAGCCATACTTACCTCCTTGCATCCTGGTTGCCTGAAATCATTGCCTGGCTGCTCTTCCTTCAACTTGAAGGCCATTGGGGCGAATACGCAATTCGGCCCGTCTAATATCAGCAACTGCCCGCCGGGTCATAGGTGTCTGCTAATGATCAGTATGGACCACATGAAGTGGGATTAGGAATGGTAATAAATTGAGGATACAATGAACAAGTGCTTTCATAATCGCAATGCTTAGCTCCACATTAATGAAATGTGCATGATCTATTAAGATTAGCCGTGACATAATTCAGGTAAAATAATTTTTAGCCAGCCTTATTTTATTTATGAGAAAATTGACTTTGATTAAATTGCGTTTTTTACCCACCCTGTATTACAATATAAAAAGAGACGCGGTTTGTGCCAGTTTTGGCGGGCGAGGTGTTTGGTTTTAAATTTTTTTTTCTGTTTTGTATTTTTGTTATCAGTCTTCCATAATACTCTGGAAGAACGGTATAGAACCCCCCCCCCCTCCCATCACACACACACAATTGTCCAGATGTTCAAAATGCAAGCTTTCGAACGTTAAGGAAAGCATATCCATGATCCACACCGTCCGTATACGAAATTCTCCAATCGGTGCTTAGTTTTTTTCTCTCTCTCGATTTAATTGTGATACACGTTTAAATATTTAGTTGGTTGCATACTTTTAAATCTTGAGCTGTTTGTTGGAACCAACCTGGAATTTTCGGCTGGGTCGTTGTACAGACCAGCTATCGTCAAATCGGTGCTGCAGAATGACTCCTCCCAGAATGTAGTTGGTGTTGAGGTGCAACTAAGGACTAAAGATGATGAAAGTGTATTGTCGACGCATGGTAGGTTTAAGCCCAATTGATAGCGTGTCCGGATTGGTCCATATTAAACCCAACAGAATTATAACGCCGCCATAAATATTCATTTGTTTTCACATGCAACTTCAATAATACAATGCGACACTGATGGGAACATTAAGAGCACTACAAGTGATAGTGCTGAAGTGTTTGAGGTGGGATTGAGGCCCCTTCACAACTTATCAAGCATAATAATGTACAGGACAGTTTAAGTGTCCATTTATCTTAATACGAGCGAAGGGTAAATTATTATGGGCATTAATACGTTCCACACCTTTTCCTTAGTTTGCCTTGTTTCCTTTGCCTTGTTTGCATTTCAGGCGTATCACAAAAAGTTCGATGACATTTTCAACATAACGACATTAATTAGGCAGAAACAAAAGCCCTCGTTTGCATTGTTTTTTACTCATGATCCCTACATTTTCATTTCAGGGGAACGGCCGCATCCACAGTTCGTAGGAGATCCCATCAGCTACAATGGACGAGTCTATTTCTTTTTCCGCGAGATTGCAGTGGAGTTTATCTCTGAGAGTCTCGTGTTTTCGAGAGTTGCCGTAGTGTGTCAGGTAACAAGTGCGAGTGCACAATAAGCTCTGGCCGTCGCGCATGAAAGTCTTGCATGGAATCTATCGAAATTATCCCAGGCAGAACCTAATAATGAGACGCCTTAAGATGTGACGCCGATGGCACATATTGAACATTTTTATACCTAGATTTATAGCGAGTTGGGATAAATACCACGTGACTATAACATTACTGCACATGCTTTACCTCAATTTACAAACTTTTCATAAACATCTTTCCGAATTGTTAGAAACAATTTTCGTTCGGTATTAGTTATAAATTCATTTTGTTTCCTTTTTTTTTGAAAATTAAAATGTGGACAATAAGCCCCCTAAATTTCCCATAAAATATAACTACCAGTGGTAGTTATATTTGATGGGAAATTTAGGGAGCTTATTTTGGTCAATTTTCCGAGGACAAACAGACAGACCGACAGACAGACAGCACGACAGACAGACCGACCACGAAGTGACATGTAGAAGCTCCTGCCAGAGTTTAATTCCTCTTTTCGTATAAATTTCCACCTCCCAACATTTCCATTTGCATTTCTCTAATTCCCCAATATAATATTAAAGGGAATATACATCATTTGCTTTGGCTGTAATTTTCAGAAATGGATGGAATTGGGGGGTTGGAAATATAAAGCAAATATAGTTACACTGACTTTTTTGGAGGTTTTGGGTTCGAAAATGCTATAAAAACCAAGAAAAACGATCATTTTCCTGTAGTCTGGTTCCTTGACTCCATATAAGAAGAAACAAAGCAGTTTACGTACATTGGGGAATTGTAAGGTCAGGGAACCAGTCTAGCTGGCTCGTACCCGTTCATAGGTTTGTAATCGATTGCAAACAAGTGCAATGGTCCATTGGGGCCAGTATTTGAAAAAAAGCCAGTTGTTTCCAACGCTGATCGGCCGATCAGCGTTGGAAATTGATACAAAAATACCACTTTTCTTGAAAATGACAGTATACCAGGTGCCATAATTTTACAGGATGCTTTAGACTGTCATTTACCAACATCCTATTAAGGTATTTCGCAAAAACTTGGTAGTTTTATTTTTCGATGTTTGCAAATGTTGTATATTCCCTTTAACTATATCCTTCCTCCCCTTCGATTAAAAGCTCCAGTCTCATTGGGAAAAAAATGTAATGGACAAAAAATTACGAACATCAATGTGTTATGAAATGCACTGTGGCTTTTAATCAAACTTGGTATTTCTCAAGAATGATACAGGGGGTGGTCCATTCAGCGAATTAAACGAGCACAACATAGTCACCTTTGTGAAAGCCCGACTAACCTGCTCTATCGACGGAGCCATTCCCTACCATTACAACGAAATACGTGAGTCACTCTGCCTCCATCTTTTATTTGTCTCTCTCTTTTGTAAGTTTGATTTTTAACAATCTATTAATTTTCTTAAGAAAATTGTGCCAGTAATTAACTTCACTCAACTTTGATTGCTAGGATTTTTCACCACCCCGCATATCTTAAAGGGAATGTACATCATTGGCTTTTGCTGTAATTTTCAGAAATGAACTATTTGAGGGGTTAATATAATAGATCAAATGTTGTTACGCTGACATTTTTGAAGTTTTGTGTTCGAAAAGGTTGGAAAAACCAAGAAAAACAAAAAAGTTCAAGTAGTCTGGTTCCGTGACTCCACAAAAGATAAAATGGATCAATTTATAGATGATGGAAAATTGTAAGGCAAGGGAACCAGTCTAGCTGGCCTGCACCCGTTCATGAACTGTAACCAATAGCAAACAAAATTTGGACTGAAAAAATGGTAAATTTGGAGCAGAAGTTGAAAAATAGTTAGGTTTTTCCAACGCTGGTCGGCCGACCACCGTTGGAAATGTTTACAAAAATACCATTTTCTTGAAAATGACTTCACACCAGGTGCCATAATTTTACAAGATGCTTGGGACTGTCATTTACCAACATCCTAGTAAGGTATTTCGTAAAAACTTGGTAGTTTTATTTTTCGATGTTTGCAAATGTTGTATATTCCCTTTAAGTGTGGTCATTTCTTTTTGTTTCTTGTCAACAGAGGACATTTACCAGTCAACTGATGATACCAACGTAGTTTTTGCAATTTTTGCCACGCGAGCGTAAGTACAATTTGAGGGCACTTTGTTCAACAGCATCTTGAGAAATTAAGATTGGTTAGTCCTTGACGAAGAAACAACCTACATTGCGTAATCAGATCAAATCATCTAATTTCAAATCATCTTGCAGCAGAGACTACTCCGTGCAGTGTTTGATTACTTTTGACCGGAAGTTGTTCAATGTTCATTTTTGTCTTGTTTAAATTTGTCCTGAATTTTGTTGGTATTATCTTAGACCTGTCGTGGCAAGTTCTGCAGTTTGCGCCTACCGTTTGGATGAGATTGAGGCACTGTTTCTGAACACCGAGAATAAGTTTACGTTTCAGGAGAATGATGGCGAGATTTGGAAGGACGTAGTCACGGACCCCATCACTCCAAGACTAGTAACGGTACGCAATTACTTTTTTCCCCTCTGCAATCAAGTATAGGCCAAGTCACTGTATCACCATAATACGCATGTTCAGTTTTTGAATGTAAAGGTTACCCGACCTATAGTAAGATAAACAGGTGATCGTCAGGTCAGGGAGCCAGACTAGCCTTTATCTGAAAAGCACATCGTACCATTGAACACTTATAGAACAGCTGTTCAGTTCACCTTGATAACATGGCTTCCTTTTTAAGTGTAAAGTTTCGCTTACACGTTTTCAATGTTTCAATATTTCGCTAACTTGTAAAAAAAAAAAACACTGTAGTTTATCTCCACAGCCGTTTTTTTTAGGCAAAAGCAAAAATAAAACAATTTGTATGGTTATTTCAGTGTCAAAACACTGACAGTGTTGATTTCATTCGGGCGAGAGATATATTGGAACGAGGTCAAATAATGTCGGTGTCGGCTGAGAACAAGCTGCACTACGAGACGCCAGGGGGCGCTCAAAGCAACCCTCTGTTGGTGATAGACGGGGAACGTTTCTCACAGATCGTCGTTGATGAAAACGTCGTCAATTCCATAGATGTCATGTTCATCGGAACGGGTAAGTTCATGGCATGTACTGTTTAACGATATTTGGTCATGAAAATGATTTCTATCATCAGATGTTTGACACCAATTTCAGAATTCAGCTATAGCGTTTGCGCAAATTATCAAACTTTCGAAGCGGGAAACCGTTTTTCCATGATTTCCATAGCCATATACCAATTATGAACTCTCTCATTCAAGGTCAAAATGTGGAATAGTAATGATAAAAACAGTTAGATCGATTTAGTTAAACATTTTTCGTATTCATTATAAAGTCGATTGAATGCCTGTCATTGGGACCACTATTGGTATTTTAAATATGAAGACAAAAATCGGACGAGTTGCCTTTGTTCGCGTAAAATTAGAAGCACATGTGTGCCACAAGGAGTGGTATTTAGCTGCGAAAAAAACTGGTTTCATCGCCCTATTTTCAAAACCATTCTCGCCCTCACTTGAACGCAATTTTACTTTAGTCTTCGATGATTTCATTGATTTTCTTCTGTTTATAATTTTAAATTGTTTCCCGAATGAAGTAGGTAAAGAGGACACCTTCTCGTAACTGTCACACATCGTTTTTTTCGATGATTTTCACAGAGAATGGGACTGTACTGAAGGCGTATTTGAACGCGAACCGATCCGTAGCGAAAGTCGTGGAGGAGATTAGCCTGAATACAGACGGTCGCAAAGTCAGTGGAAAATAGAAATATCTCTAAGCTGTTTTTCCGTCTCGACTCTCGAGGTTGTTTCTTAATCGTGATTCTTAACATGTTTCTGAAAGAAAGCAAATTCCTCACGATCTTGATCTTGATCTTTATCGTTTCACTGCATCGCCTCGGGTGTGGCTGTTAACGTGCAGTTAACGATATAACGTTGGAAGGGGACATCTGTCCATTCCAAAAACTTTATTAACGAAGCATGCCACAAAGTTGTTCCAACTCCCCACGCAGATTTTGACTTTTAAAGTTGTTCAGAATCCCAAAATTTTGAATTATGGATTATCCTCCCGAATTCCAAAGTTTTCAGAAGAGTAGTCTCTCAAATACTCTCTTTCCCATTTCTATTCCTAGACTTTCCCTGACTCTAATCAGCCAAGCATTCCCACAGTAATTTCCATAGTAATTTTAGGTATGACGTATATAAAACACCGTCTTCAACCACGACTAATAGGATCAATATTTACACGCAGACCCCGGTGTTGACTATGCTGCTGAGTGACTCCGATCAAGCCGTTTTTGTCGGCACCGACATTGGCGTCTACAAGGTACCATTCCAACACTGCCAGGATTTCGCCTCGCGTGTTGACTGTTTAGTCATTGAAGATCCGTACTGCAGTTGGAACGGTAGTTCGTGTGTCAACTCCGACGAGGGGTAAGTTACAGGTCCTAACTTTTTACTCTCACTTTTGTAGATTAAAAACAAATCGCTATTTTTTGGCACTATTTATGCCTCTTGAGAGTTCTGAAATGGTTTTTGTTGACCGATCAGATTCGTTGAGCTATAGATGTGTCTTTTGGGACAATCACAAAGCAAAAAGGCAAGAAATGCGAACATGTATCTGGCTCGTAAGCTGGAGTTGAAACGCCCGCTTCGTCTGAGTTTCTCAAAATATGAAGTACCTATTTCACTTGATAACCACACCCTTAAATTGGCAGTTGTTGCACTGTGTTTTCCCAACGTTAGCTAAAATAACTGCCTATAGACAGTTATTGGCAAATTCTACTCAAAGATAAGAATTCATTGAAAAAAAAGACAAGCTCGATCGTATCTTGGAAGCTGCGGGCATACGAATTCGTGTTCATGCATGAGTCACGTGATTGTGGCAGGTTATTTCTGGAGTGGAAGGAGTAGTGTTTTGAGTAAAAGAAAATCAGCTTTTTGATCCCAGTGACTCCTTGATGACCTTTGACCCCAGTCTTGGTCATGTGACATGTTGGGGCTGGGATACTGATACTTTTGACAAAGTTTGGTTGAAATTGGTCAAAATATGTAGGAGCAATACTAGACAATGTCGACGTTTGTTACTAACTAACTAACTAACTAACTAACTAACTAACTAACGGAGAGACATGATGATTTGTTGAGCTGCTATCCCGCAGCTAAAAATATTAATACCAGGTGTTTTAAAATAAAACTATTAAAGCATTGTAAATGATATCGCATTTGTGATCTGTGATGGGACGTCAACACATCATAATAGACCAATCAGGTATTCCGACATGGGGCAGTTGGCACAGGACTTTCGCCATTGAAGGGGCCTTCGTGGGTGTACAGTGATATGCGATGGGGTTGGTCTAAGGCTTATTGCACAAAGCAGCTGTCCCGTGATGGATTATCTGAACAATAGCTAGCACAATGCATTAGCCATTGAAAGGGGGCATCTGTGATAGAAGTGATAACGTATCTGATTGGTTTATTCTGTGAATCCGTCGATCTCACTTGTGTTTCTTGTATATTCACAGGGAGCAGGACTTGGAGACAGGAGCTGACAACACCGTTGCTCCAAGTATGTAATCTATACTCGACTCTACCTTTTCCCACGATTTGCGTTACTTTGGCGTTAAAAGTTAGCATTATACTTATTTAGAGATATCTCTATGTGAATATATACCTTGGACTAAAAGAGATATATCTACACATTAGCAGATTTGAGTAAAAGCTGTGTTTGATGCAGTGTTAATCTTTACACTCCATACTGTACGGCGCTCGCCCATCAAGACTCCCAAATCCAACCTGTCTCTATTTTTCACCCATTTTCCTTGGACAATGGAGCTGTAAACCTGTTGAGCTGGAAACATGTATTCTTTTTAGTTCTGATCCGGTTTGTCATTTCAGTCATGTTATTGGTGACATGTCCAGAAAAGTGTTGAAAACGGTTTGTGCAAAATTACAGTTTAACATTTGATTTTTGTTTAATTGAGTCTACTAAAGTTTTCCCCCATATTTCAATATAGGCCTAGCCAATACGACTTTCCATCGCTGGCGGTACAAAGCACATTAATAAATAACGTCGATTCATTTTGTGGTCTTGAATGTTTTTCTCATAATTTATTCATATTTTTCACAGGAGTGGTCATCAAGTTGAATGACCCTCGGTATGTAATAAGTGTGAGATATAAACTCAAGTTTATATTAAGTTTGCCATGGCTCACCCCTTTGTAAGATATTTGACAGAAATCTATTATATTTTTAATGTTATTTTTATAGGCATCACAGTACACCGGGCTCCCAAAAGTCAAAAAAGGTACCTGAACATCAACGACAGGCCGATCAACCTGTATCTTTTCGCCGAGACTCCTACGGGTCAAAACCTTCGCGTGGTCAACAACGAAGTCCCGTGCCCACCGTGCGCCAGCCTGCCGTATGCCGAGTATCGAGCCGCCAGCGCCGGCAAAGAGTTCCTGTCGTTGGTCATCAACGGATCGAATTCCATGGAGACTATGAACTGCTCCTGTACAGTCGCCCTGGCCGTAGACGGAGGCTACACCGAGTCGTTCAATTTCACTCTCACTACGGATGACTCAAGTAGGCCTACGTGTTTCTCAGCTCGTTAGCTGTTTTGCTTACCAATTGGTTTTCCTCGCTTACTTAAACATTCACAGCAATAGCTTCACACCAACGAATAGTATAATTCTTAATGATGGAGTCCGCATAATTCCTGTTACTCTCTAAATTCCAAAGAGTGAAATTAGGGGCTAGACGTTTTAGAGTGCAAATCACTCTCATTTTCGATTGAAATAGTCTGAAAAATGAACCACCTCAGTCACAGCTCGAGTGAAAACTCAATCTTAACGATTGAAGGAATATCACTCTAAAACGTCTAGTCCCTAGTTTCCGACTGTGAGAGTGAATCTTCACTCGAATCGAGTGAATTTTTCAGAGTAATGTACCCTTTAGGAGACATTGATTTTTCGTCATAAGTTATTTAACTTTCGTCATAAGTTATATAACTTTCGTCATAAGTTATACCTTAGGGAGACACTGGACATTAACATTTCAATGTCTCCCTTATGGGAATGTCCCTCTAAGGTACATTCCCAGTAATAATAATTTTGAGTATCATTTTCATACGGACTATCCGTTTTTCATATAGTGAAACCATGGAACAGACGATTTAGAAGATTGGAACTCACAGAAATAATGTTAGATTGAAATGCTTGGGAAAGGATTCATGCACTTCTGTGCAAAACTCTCGAGTACAAACAGTCGATCTATTCGATGGAAGAAGTTTCACTCGCAATCGTCTTGTCCCTATTAGTTTCAGTGGGGTGGATTGAATTTTCACTAGTTTGGAAATTGGATAGATGGGCCTGTTGAATATTGGTTTTCTCATCATTAATTATTTGTATATGTTACAAATTCAGATGAAGCCCAGGTAAACGAACTGGAAGATTCCGACGAGATAAGACGATATCAAAGCAAACTGCAAGACTGGAAAAACAAAGTGGTAAGTGCCTAATGGCCTTTATTCATGAGTCGGCCATTTAAATTGAAAAAAGAGGTACTTGGAACTTGCGAAGAAAATGAAAGCAATGCAATAAAGTATGTAACACATTTATGTCGGTCTGCTCAGATGGATAATTTAAAATTTGATATTAAATATACTCTAATGTTTTAAGCCACGTTTAAAAAAAGAATGAAAGTGAGGCTAGAATGTATAAATAGTCTGGCACCATCCCATTCAACAGTTAACAATTTACACAATACATTCAGGGAACACGACAAACATGGCTTCTTCGTAAATAAGGTCCATAGGCCTGCGTCCCGTGCCAATATAGGCCAAAAACGAAATCCAGCGTGGTCCATTGAAAACGGTCAAAATGATGCGTGACAGGCGTTCCCATGCCAGCTTTATACAGGGTTTAAAATGAGAAATTCAAATAATAAGTATTTAGCTGTTTAACAGAGATTGAAAGCAGATGACTTTCAAATACCGATTGCAATTACCGATACCAAACTACCGATTACCCTTCTATGCGAATCACATTGTGTGGATTTTGGCGATAGCATCAGCAGTTATAACATTATAAATGCATATTTCTACTTATTATTTGTTTTAAAGGGTGAGTCGTGTGGACTAGATGACGTACAATCGTGCCAAGCACGACCGTAACCATGCCACACTGAGTTACGTCACAGCGTTCCCGTTGACTGATTGGATTTGCCCCAATCACGTGACACGGAAGCTCTTTTTTAAGTCTCTCGAAGAATTGCACTGCTCTAAAACGATATGTTTGAATTTGTGTGGCCGTGGTTAACATCGGCATTTATTTTGTCTTTTGTAAATATGTTTTTGTTTTCTAAATAAATGTTGCTACTTCATGCCTTTTAAAGGTCCTTACACTGAACAATTGCCTGGGTTAATTTTCCAAAGAAAGGGTGAAAACTGGAACTACCCAAACTTGGGTTGTTCTATAACCAATTGTTTGGGTTATAATTTATGTTAAATTCAACCAAAAATTGTAGTCATAGAAGATCAAATTAAATTCGGTCTGGAATGACCACAAGTTTTGGTTGAATTTAACATAAATTCTAACCCAAACAATAACCCCAGTTTGGGTAGTTACAGTTTTCACCCCCCCCCCCTCCCCAGGCAATTTTTCAGTGTACAATCGTTTGCATGTGCATCTTTTTTTTAAGCAACAACATTGCTCAAAATTATAAGTATGAGAGATTATAACTAACTTGTGAGGAAAAAAAATGGGGGGGGGAATCTCACATATAAACCTGGATTCCGTTGTTTGCAATTCTGATTCAGGAGTTGCTGTTTCTTATTTTGTATCGCACTCTCCCATGCATGCTCAAATCTACTTGGGACACGGTTCAGAACCCTCCGCCGGTTTGTGATAGGCCTACGTGACGTGTAGGCCTACATGACTGGACACCGTGACCATCTTCCTATGGGGCGCTGTTCAAATTGGACGATCATGGGCGCTATCGGACAAAATGTGGCGCTTTTCAGGACGCTGCTAGCTGAAAACTGAGGCATTTACGTGTAAAAAACTGTCTAGGCCACTCGTGAGAGCTTAACAGTAATTTTCCATTGATATACACGATAAAAACCAATATAAACTTTTTGCCTCTTATACACATAGGTTGGAAGTTGTTTATAGTAACTCAGTATACATGGTGATTATATTTTTGTTACAGCAATGTCGGTATCATATATAGCTTTTTATGATGTATTTGTAAGAATATATAGTTATGTTACCTAACTGGAACGTTTGCGTTCCAGTACAAGTGATGTCAATTATTTACGCAGGAATTTTCAAGTGAAACAATTAAAGAACGAAATGGAACATGATTGTCAAATCTATTTCGGAAAGTGTTTGAAGAGCAGACAAACAGTATGCCAATTGTTCGACTAAATGAACTTATATTGGAATTAAAATAATATATTATCCAGAAAAGTTGACAGGTGAGTATAGTTCACCGATGTTAGTCCTTAGCCTGTAGATAAAGGAAGCCGTTGAAATAAAGGAAAACAAAAACCGGGTTGAAACTTGAATATGGCATGGACACCATTTTCAACCATAAAATCAGTCCTACACTTGGCGCGTGTCTGTCTTTTTGTTGAATACATGTATATATATTGCAGTCTGCAGTATATAGCTCTTTTCTATTGTATTTTTCCATTGTTTCGCAAAGATATCGTCTTACCCGTGATCTGAATTATGTGTCAAATAAAGGTTATTTTAAGTCCAAAAGGGTTAATTGCATTTCCAAATGTCCATTTGAAAAAACGTCTGCAAACTCATACAAACAGACACAATTTTGACATGTATTTTTAAAAAGTGTTTAATACTTTGGGCAACCAGTAGAGGGCAGAATTAATTTTGTTCTACATTGCATCAAATATTATATGAATTAATAAGGTTATTATGTACCCGTTGTGATTGAATTGAAGTCCGAATGCTGTAGTTAGAAATTTAAAGCTAATCGACCTCATGCGTAGCGGCCATCTTAGAGGGCATCTTTTGATAGTATAATTCAGTAACAATGAACGAACAAAAGGTTCACTCAAGCATCATTATCACATCAAAACAAAGACATTGCTCTCTAAGATGGCTGCTACGCATTATGTCTATATACAATTAATTACTGGTTAAAACTTGGGAAGTAAGTTAATTATCGCTTATTGAAAGATTTTGTTACTGGTTCCAACGGAATTATAGTTCAATTATTTTTGTATGCAGTATATACACAGAAAAACCAAAGTGAGTAATTTGACTCATTATCGTAAAAAAAATGAGTCATTTTGTCAGTGTAGTGACACACTATGGCTCAAAGTGTGTCATTACACGGACAGAATGACGATAATGAGTCAAATTACTTATTTTGGGTTTAGAAAGAGTATTTTTATGATTTTTGATAAATCATCAGTTTGATGTTTGATCTTTTGCAGACTATGTGGTTGAGAATGTTGATTGTTGATTTTGCAAAATTTGTTTTACAAAATGAGCTCGTGTGACTTATGATCCATAACTATCTCTAAATAACTATCCGCATAATTATACATGTTACACCTTTAAAAATCATTGCATTTATAAAAGGAACTGTACAATTGCTCATGAGTTTGGCTGTAATCAATCAAAAAGTTCGAAACTTAAAGCAAAAAAACAATTGTGTGTGAATTTTTTCAGTTAATTAAATTAACCGAATGCCACGTGGTCTGTTTCGAGAGAGATGTACCGAGTGCCAATACGAAATACACATACCCCAACGGTGCTCCCATTGCGTTGGTTCGGTACTACCTTTTTATACAACTTCCCTCAATACTTGCCTTTTTGTTAACAACAACCCCTCCCCGCTCCTCGTGGAAAGAGAATTGGACACATTGTCTCACATCACAATATAACAACCAGGCCTCATAAATTGGCTCCTGTTAAAAGCGCATAGCGCCCTCTGTATATTTTCTTCACCTTAAAATTACAGAAGTAATTTCACCACGTAAACGTAAGGGCTGTTCAGGGTACATCTAATTCACGAGTAATTGCGTGATTTAAAGGATGTGGGAGTGACAAAATGATGTGTGGTTTGTAATTACAGGCGTTTTGTCTTGATGAAGTTTGGGCAAACGTGACTTTCATAAATATGGCCTGTCTTCCTCCATGCTTCGAGACAGCATCTTTATCTCCATCTTCATCTTCAACCATTTAGTTAGCAAAATATCCTATTTGGATACATCACGCTACCCTGCGTTGCGTGTGGAAGAACTTGAAAATGAGCTGAACTTGAAAATGCAGTCGTCTTTTTTTTTTTTTTTTAAATGTGTGATGCAGGAGACCGTGATTTGGTGGGACTGCTGACTATATTTGCTGGCAACTTGTTCCAATCGATGATGGCGCTGGCGGAGACGAAGAATGAGTCCCTGTGTACAGGGTGACCCCCCCAAAATGCATTAACCCCAAAACATTGGCCTTTATAAAAAAAAAAAAAAGGGATGGATGGATTTTATATCTTCGGTATGAGGTTAAAGCTGAGAGCTTTTCCTTTCAAATAATGAGAAAAAATCATAAAAATAGCACTTTGGGTTTCTGAGAAAATGCCAATTAGTCATTTTTAGTGAAAGTGAAACATTTTACTGAACGCCTAATGCTGTGCATGCAGTGTGCAATTTCTTTAATATTTTGACATATATATGATGCTGAAAAGGTTTAAAATAGGACGAAAAGGTTTAAAATAGGACTAAACGGATGAGATACCTGTTCAGGTGGAAAAATATAATGTATTTCCATCAAATTCATTTGTACCCTTCTCCGATTATTGTGAGCTGTATTGTTTGTAAGGATTAGGACATGCAAAAATAGGTACAAGTCCCGTAATTTTGTTTGTGTACAGGATGAAAAAAAAAAAATACTTTTACATAATTGGCATTTTCTCGGCAACCCAAAGTGCTATTTTCATGATTTTTTTTCAGTGTATGAAAGAAAAAGATCTCAGCTTAAATCTGATGTCCAAAACATTAAAGTCCAAATGGGCAAATGTTTAGGGCTTTTTTTTGGGGGGGGGTGTCACCCTGTTTGCCCATTTATACTGGCTAGTCTGCCGAAATTTCTAATCGTGACCCATTTAATGTTTGTAGAGGGGAGTCTTCTGGGGACTGAGATTAGGCAGCAGGGGAAGCATGGGCATCAGTAGAAAATTTAGATTTAAAGTACTGATTAATTGATGTTAAAATGATTAATTATATGCCTTCAACCTGGACGACAGCACGAGCGAAGTGATTGCGAAAGGCCTTGCCGAGCATGCAACGATTCCGCGCGGGATGTCATTGCTTTTTACGTTGAGGGCGCTGTTCGTTACATTTTTCTTGTATTTTCATCATGTAGATGGTGAGAAATTGTTCGTCTTTCAATAATTTTGTGAAGCTGTAGTAAAATAATATTTCCTGTGACGACTTAACTCTGTTTTATTGTTTAAATAAGACAGTACACAATTAGTGGGAAAAAGTAATAAGAATTCGTTTTAATTGTGCCAGAACGTTGTTTTGATATTTGACGTTATCTACAAGTACTAAAATAGTTGTATGTTCACAACAACTTGCCGTTTTGAGGTCTCCGGCCGCATGTGCCGCGCATACGTACATGTAATGTACGTTCGAATATTAATTCAGTCGTGAAAATATAGGAGCGTGATTGGAACGGTACGGTCCGGAGTTTCCCTAACTTATTTCTCGCTCTCTGTTTCCGTCCAAAATGCGTTAAGAGTCTCATTCACAAGTGTTTTGATGATCAGACCCAGTGTCCGGGGATGTGCCGAGTTTGTGGTCATTAGTGGCTTTGTTTCGGAGCCAGAATGTTGACTTTCAAGACCGAGCCCGTGGAGGATTTCTACGAAATCGGAAAGGAGATTGGGAGGTACGTATATTGCGCTAGCGTTGTGTACAAACTACAGTGTTTTGTTTACGGAACACTCGACAGATGTAACACTTCCCAACCTACATGGTTTTATTTCTCCATGGTTATACTATAGCGAAAACTTCTGAGTGGATACTATAACCATTTTATGTCATGTATTTTTTCACCATGGGGAAAGAATATTGCATCCTAACGCCACTTTTTTTTCATCATTAATTGGGCCGTCTCAATCAGTGTCGGTCAGTCACTGCCAATATGTTCAACAGCCATGAAACTGGGACTGAGAAACTTTGAATATTTTTTGTAACGAAGTGGCTATCGTTACGGCACTCGTTGTTTAGCGCCCTCTACGATATTTTTTTGGTACGCACGCAGGTATATAATTATTTGTTTCCACACGTTTTATCGAGCAGTGCGCCAGCTCAGCCGATAGAGGGTAGGATTTTGCACCGCGAGGTTGCGGGTTCGGATCTCAGTTTTGCACTCGAATTTTTTTCCTTTTCTAACCTGAGGCTTTGGAGGATTTTTTTTAAAAGGGAAATAAAGTCCGAATTTCATAAAGTTCAAATTCACTTTTTTCCTTCTAATTTTATATTTTCTTGTCATGTTTTTTTATAAAAGTTGCCAGGTTGCAGTCTACCGTAACGATAGAAAATGGGAAATGCGTTACGGCTGCCGTAACAATAGCCACTGCGTTTTTGTAAATGCACTCAACTCTCCATAGACTTTGGTTTGTACACAACCAAAGAAGTGGCGTCTGGATTCTAAATTCTTTCTACCATGGTTTTATGTCTGCTCAACTTGCGAACCAAATGAGTGGCCTTGATCATGATCAACATGATCAAGGACAAGGTGACAGCAGCCCAAGTTCATTGGCCATGTGGTTTCTTCTTTACTGACTTTCTCTGTCTGTTCAAATGTGAGCTTTATTTTTTTTATTAATTTTCTGACATTGTGTTTTATAAAATATTTTTAAAGTTGAATATCGAACTGGTTTGACATGTTTGAATGATTCAAATTTTATAATTACGGGCAATGTACAAGTTAATACGTTGGCAGTAAGCGCATTCAAGGTAGTATGCGCCATCTTGTTTCGGCACAAAAAGAGCATGCGTTGATAGACACAAGCGCACATTGGAATGAACGCATGATGCCTTGGAAGCGCAAAAGTTTTTGATTGACGTACGTACTTAGCAACGCGTGTTCTTTTTGCCTCGTGGACAAGATGGCAATCATGGCACATACCGTGAAAGTGCTTATTGTGCAAGTATTAATTGACTGTAATCTGCAGGTATTTATTATTGTTATAATAATTTAAGAGAATCTGGAAATGTCTTTGCTGACTTCTTCAGAGTGAAATCCTTCTCCATATAGCTCAGTTATTTTATTTCACTGTATTGAGTGGCATCCGGTCGTATGTACCGGTACATTGTAATCAAAATTTAAAACCCTAATTCCCTAGGCATTTTTGCTAGGATGCAACCTCAATCCTGCAAAATCCTTCAACTTCCTCTATGTAAAAATTACATACAGCCTCAATCCTCCAAAATCCTCAGAACTTTATTTCTTGAATGTGGTCCTTGGAGGGGTCACCACTGCCTCAATCCTGCAAAATCCTCCAGCAATCACTGTCAGTATGTTGAGGCAGAGCCAGTGACATCCTTGACCAGTGTGGAGGATTTCAACTTCAAGTGTAATGGGCCTAAATTTATAATATGCATGGCTGAGCATAAACAACACAAGTTCCGGCCCATTTTTGCCGTAGGCCTATAACCTCAATCCTTCAAAATCATCCATTTTGCAAAGAGGATTTTGGAAGGTTGGGTTAAAGTTGCATTCCCCGTGCTCTTCAAGAAATTCTTTTTTTTTCTTCAAATTTTAACTTGTATGTTTTTTTTCCAAGCAAAAATCCTCCTTTTTTCATTTTTTGGATGTCTGTAACCACGCAACCAACCTGGAAAAAAAGGAGGTTTTGTTTTGGGGAAACAGATCCGCTGTGTGAGCAGACTGGTTCCCGGTTTGTTCATTATGGATACTGACTGTGGGGCGGGAACCAGCCTACCGGTACTTTGCATTGTCTAGCAGCCAATAATTCGAAATTCTAAATTAATAATTCAAAAACTAAACATGGGCAGAATTGTTTTCGGTCAATGTCTCATTCAGAAGTTAATAATTTTGTATAAATTTCTAGAAAAATAGCCAAGTTCTAAGAAAAAAAATACCGGTAGAAGAGGATATATTTTTGGGGATGAAATTAAAAAACTAGCATTCATGGGGAACACATCCTTTTAAACAAATTTGCGGATGTCGATCGGTTGGCAAGTTGAATTTCTTTCACACATTACAGTAGGCACTTGTTGACAGCTTACTTAATTTTTAAAACCTGTATTTTCCCACGGAGACCTTTTCACAGATTAAGTAACAGTCAATCACAATACTGCAAAGTCAGAGATGCTAAATTTGGCAGCTAGATATTAGGCCTATCTGTACTGTACTTGCATCCTTGCACGATTTCTAAATGACTATTTAATTGACGCATTTTTGTGGTTGTCACTAACAATGTCCTGTATCATTGGAATTACCATGGATGACCAGGAGTGAGTGTAGTTATCGTCAATATCAATATTTGTTTTGATCTCGTGCCTGAATCATTCCGATCATCCCGGAATATCCCAGGATCCCAAACTTTATTGTTCGTCCCGCCCGACCTGATTGTTTAAAGTGCAAACACTCCAGACAAGATAAGATACTGAAATCTTATGTGAGAAGATTTCATTTTGACACGATAATGAGAAAGGGTAGGCCCCAATACAGTGTTATACCGGATGCCAATTCGCTAGTGTTGAACAGTTATCATGTGCATTACAAGAATGACATAATGAAATTTCCCAGAATTGCAGTAATGTTGCTAAATGTTGCTAGCATTGTGTCAGAAACTGTGATCCCTGGCTACATACGGGTTTACGGCTTCTGACTAGCGCCTGACCATTGAACAAAGACATTGACGAAAATGGGGAACTGCCAACGTATATCGGTAGGGCTGGATAGCTCAGTTGGTAGAGCACCGGAACTGCAATCCAAAAGTTGCAGGTTCAAACCCTGGGCCAGTCAATTTCTTCATTCAACTTGTAAGAATGTAAGAGTTACTTAAATGTTAGAAAAAATTTAAATGGAGAACTGTGCTGTAATCTACCGTATTGTGTTCTTAGTCTTTGTATATATTTTGAAATTTACATGAAATTTTCTTTATTGTTTGACAGCTCAGAGTTTTGTACATTGTAGTCTGGAGCATGTGGAGAGATTATTTTGGAATCATGATTCATAACAAAACACTGGACATGTACAATGTAGGCCTACATTTCCATCAGTGCTGATGAAACAGAAAATATTAAACGTCATAAATTGACAAGAAGAATCTGTTCTTTTAAATTACAAACCGAAACTACACATGTGTTCAATGTCATTGTAACCATATTTTAATATGCCGGGTATCTGCACTACAACAGAAATTGGATAAAAATTCTATAAAAAAACGTACAATGCTAATTGTATGTAATGTATTGATGTGTATCGGCATTCATATATCAAGTACTATCACCCCACTACAGAGGCTTCGTAAACACTTGAACTGACATGTCTGACGTAGGCAGCATATCTGTGGCACCACAAGTGACCAAAGGGTACCATAGCTACATAGGCACTGCAATACATAATGTATGCCAAATATGTGATACAATGCCCATTAATTAAAGGGAATATACAACATTTGCAAACATCGAAAAATAAAACTACCAAGTTTTTACGAAATACCTTACTAGGATGTTGGTAAATGACAGTCTCAAGCATCTTGTAAAATTATGGCACCTGGTGTGAAGTCGTTTTCAAGAAAATGGTATTTTTGTAAACATTTCCAACGGTGGTCGGCCGACCAGCGTTGGAAAAACCTAACTATTTTTCAACTACTGCTCCAAATTTACCATTTTTTCAGTCCAAATTTTGTTTGCTATTGGTTACATGTTCATGAACGAGTGCAGGCCAGCTAGACTGGTTCCCTTGCCCTACAATTTTCCATCATCTATAAATTGACCCATTTTATCTTTTGTGGAGTCAGGGAACCAGACTACTTGAACATTTTTGTTTTTCTTGGTTTTTCCAACCTTTTCGAACACAAAAACTTCAAAAATGTCAGTGTAACAATATTTGATCTATTATACTAACCTCTCAAATAGTTCATTTCTGAAAATTACAGCAAAAGCCAATGATGTACATTCCCTTTAAGGTCGGACTACAGCTAATCACAAGTTCTCTTTTCTTTTCTGTTTGTTTTTGTTGTGGCCAAAATCCCTTGCCTGCAGGATAAATAATACTTGTAACTTGAGTAACAATGGCTATGATGCATTTGAATAAATTTTAAAATTTGAGGAAAGTTTACCTACTGGACCATTAAATTATACAGTTGTATACGTACTGAGTACTGGCTGTACGAGTATGTTCAACACGTCGTGTACGTAAATTATCAGAGCGGAGTCACTTAATTAGGAAATGGGTTCGTTTGAGCAGAGGGATAGAAAACCTTCATTTGCCAGTCGCATGTGGAGCAGGTAACCTTAGTTGTCATGGCTGTCAGCATGATCAAGGTTTGAAAGCTGTTGCTGAGACAGCAAACACACCAGACAAAAAACAAACAAACCTAATTAGCTCCACTTCAAGGAGATTGCCACGTTTTATGAGATGTCCAAACATCTCAAAACTCGGTTCTGGACAGCACCCTGTGCTGCAGAAGCTTTGTATGGCACTGATGAACGGGAACATGTACCAGTATCAGTTCTGATGATGTTTGCAGGTGGTTGTCTCAAACGAGGACATCACTGAAAACAATCAGATTGAATTGGCCTGGAACACTCTCAGCTGAGGACAGACATGGAGATGGTGTGTAATCAGTCATCCGTGAAGCACGGTGAAGCATCCGTGAAGCACGGTGAAGCATCCGTGAAGGGTTTATGAATCACAGCTGAGTAAATTGCCACATGGCCAAATCAGTGGTAATGATTGACGTGGTAGATCTTGGGGCTAATTTTACAAGTCTACAATTTTGAAATAATTTACTGTACTGTAAACGTGCAGTATGTATCAAGTACGCGCATGTTTATGGTGTAAATCAAGGACAGAAACCGAATTGCATCGGTTGGAAAACGTGTACAAAACCAATGAGAGCTGTTGCGAAAAAGTTAGTACAAACAATTAAAGGAAAAGGGAGGGGGAACAAAAGAAAATCCTTGATTTACACCACAAACAATTGTATGCGTGCATGCAGTGTGCATGATGTACACACAAAATATGAATGTACAAAAAATACATTTTAATGTACCAACAATTTTGTACAAAATGCACACTTTTATGTAATTGAAAATTCTGGAATTTTAAAATTTGATAGCCTTTTAGTATGATAAATGAAGTGTTATGAATTATGTGTTTTGAAAATCAATTATGATTAACATATTCAATGATGCGATATAGACAATAAAATGATCATGAATATATTCAACTCTAAGAAAAATTGCACCTTCTTGTAAGGCCCCCAAAAAAAGTCTCCGGTTTCTGGTATGCGCGCGCGTCGCCGTAGCCATGCGCGTCGGCAAAATGAAAAAGGTTTTTTTTCAATGAAAGATGATGTCTCAAAACCGCCAAACTCACTGGTTTGACTGGAATTCTGCTGCTGCGCAATTTTAACGTGTTTTTAGATTGGGTTATGGTCGAGAATAAGCTTTATGTGGCCTCTCTGGACTCCCATACATTTGCACTAAGTTTAGTCGGGCACCATTTGCAGTCATCAGCCGACATTTGAAGCAAAAAAATCAGGTAAAAAAAAAAAAAAAGCCGCGTCGCCGCACCACTTTTTGGGCAAGCTCCATACCAGAAACCGGAGACTTTTTTTTGTTGGCCTAACATAGAGTATTTATTCAACAGCTTCTTAATCGTACATAAACACCTTTGGCTGGTAATATTGTTTTTGTTGAGCTTTATGTACATAATGCACAACTACTTTCTGATGAAAAAGTCATTATAATACAGCATCAATGTTTTATTTTTTTTCAGCGGTCAGTATTCAGAGGTCAAGCTGGTGACCGAGCGCAGCACGGGTCAAGACTTTGCCGGCAAGTTTGTCAAGAAGCGTCGCTATGCCTCCAGTCGACGAGGCTCCAAACGGGAGGACATCGTCCGGGAGATTGAGATTCTCAGCGAGCTGTCCCACAGCCAGATCATCAGTCTCCATGAGGTGTTCGAGACGCAGACGGAAATGGTGCTGATCTTAGAACTGTAAGTTGGGCCTTGGGCATCTTGGGGCATTAGCTTAATGTACACGCGGATCCATGCATCTGGGAGATGGGAAGGTGTTTTGAGGGTGAAAAAAATTGTGATGCTGCTGGAAAATATCTCATGTCCATTAAATCACAGTGCAGATATCATATCCATAAGTCAAGTAGGCTTGGGTGGAACGGGATTTTGAGAGTACACGGTATACCATATTCAGTATTACCAGGTACTTTTCCGGGGGGGGGGGGGGGTTGACTACCAAACCATGAATTTCAATAAGACAAGTAGTGATAGAGCAACCGCAAAGAGGCAGAATGAGCTGAACTTCAAGGATCCTGGGGGATGCATACGCAAAAGTAATTTTCAATTTATCTGTACATGTAGATAATAATAATACCAGAGTCTTATAGCGCACGTACATGTATCTACCAACAATTAGGTACTCAAGGCGCTGGAAATTATGTCTATTATTGAAGACAGGTAAATTAAGTTTTATGAGAAATATGAAACCCATTATGTAGCACCTTAAAAGGATTGACAAGGTGCTGCGGCGCATATTGCAGCCACTGCCAGAAACACCAGGGCAAACCCCTTCTCTTAGCGATAAGTGTTACTAGGTTCTTTAACGTGCATTGCACAACACACGGGACCTACATTTGTACGGCTTTGCGTCCCATCTGAAGGACGAAGCAATAATGGTAAAGTGCCTTGCTCAAGAGCACAAGCACCATGTTCCCACGGTCAGGTTTCGAACCCATGAATGTACCACGGCACACGAGTCAAACACCGTAACCATTGAACCACAGCACCCCACGTAAAGTGCACATCTAGCCAAGTTCTGTTTTCATTAGAACTTCTTTTGAGCGGCTTTTGCACACATCTGGCCACATTTTAAAGAAAATATTGTGGTATTAAAGTTCCATATCAAGTTTTTCAGTATTCTGTATTTTATTTTATTTTAATGATTCAGTAGGCCTATTGCTCGATATTTAAAAAAATAGTTTCACTATGGTATTATTGAAAAATCATCCAAATCTAAAGTTAAGTTCCCCCCTAAAAGGATGTTTATTTTTTTTGAAACATTGCATTTTTTGTTTAACTCTGCAGCCAAAATGTTTCCAAAAGTGGACATCAGCTCCACCCTGTTTGAATTTCATCTAGGGTCAATCACACGTTTTCCATACTCTAAACGCCATCTTGAAAATGTTCCTATGGAACAATGGCAGAATTCAATGATTAAGACCAAAAAAAAAAAAGAGTCGTCACCCTCTCCCCAACATAAAAGAGGAGACACAGAAGTGAAGCCTTTCCTTCAATTTGGCAATTTGTTTTGCACAAATGTGTCAACACTGTGTGCACTTGTGAAAAATGGTGAAAGCTCCAGTTTGTGTCAAAAGCAAAATCATATTATTACAGTACATGGATGTATACACTATAATTTTTTGACGACTTGTTTTTGGAGTACGTGCTTGCTGCCCATATATTCCCATATCCTGTACATGTTACGTGTGCCAATACAATGTACATGCAGTTTTTTATTCGGAAGGAAAAACACACTTGTCAAATGTCGATCACCTGTGGAAACTTTTTTCCCACATTGGGGATAGGTCATTGAGAATTCTCTCTATTTGGATCGCTGGACTTGTGCAGCGGGTTCCTATTGTTCCTTTCTTGAATGGCTAGACAATCCTTGAGCAACAAATAATAGTCTTTATTCTGTCATTTTCAGTTCATTGCATCTTTTGAATTGCTCAAACTGAAAGTGTCATGCTTGGTCATACATGTGCACAGCTAGTGAATTTGTATTTCACTGTGTACATGTACACTTGTATGTAAAAATGTACACGTAGAAACACGACAGGCATTGTTAAGACGCAGTTCCAGCGTTATGGAAGAAAATGTAATGTCCCTGACTGAGCCACTTAACCATGATATCTAATTAATGATTCAGAGAAATGATCAAAAGGGCAATTCTTTGGTCACTGTGTGACATAAAATTGGGCTCGTCTGATTTTTGAAGGTTTACTCCTTGTTAACTGCATCTGACATACGGTTCATGCATTACTTTAGTTTAATTGATTCATCAGGTTAGTAGTACTGTTCTCTCCCTTCCTCAGAGTAGGCTATAGTTGTACTTTCACAAGTTGTGTCAAAATATTAGGAAAGGTCATCAAAGTTTGGTCACGTGTGTGACATCAGACGTGAAAATGTTATCCGGCCCATTCTGGAAATTCACAGGATTCTCCAACTTACATGTAGTTCTAAGGACACACACACCCATAGGCCTACTTCTTCTGGAGCAAGACTAGTCTTTTGAGATTTACAAAATGATTTAACAATGTACACCCTTTAGTTTGCTTTAGTTTTACAATATGGGAATTGTTCTGTGGCCACGTGTGTGACAATTTGATCAGTTACATGTGTGACATTTTGTAATTAAAATTATGCTAATTTATGCATGGAAAGACCAACTTATAAAAGTTCTTAAAAAATTTGCATCTTTACTTTACTAGCAATACTTTAGTGAACAATAATCTTTTGTATTACATCACATCAAAAGCTCCCCCCCCCAAAAAAAAAAATTAGGTTCAATTTCTGAAGAATCGTCTTAAAATTCCTAAAATCAGTCTGTAATCTCATTTACCATTACTACATGTAGATGATGGATGTACAAGATTTGAAAAACGTTTTTGGGTTTATTCACTGACCAAGTGCAAAACAAAGTCTGATAATTTCTGTGATGCTGGAATTGCTCTGTAAATGTTTTGAACTTGGGACTATGTGTCTTGTGCAACCATGCATTTTGCAATGATCTTTTCCAGTAATGAGGAAAATCATTAAGTAAAAGTACAGAAGTACACAATTTTCGATTTGGTTTGAGGGTGTCTGGGTGTCTTTTGGATGCTCTTTAGGCTATTTTGGACTTGTACCCAGTTTAACATGGAGAAATGAAAACATATTTTCTCTGTGGTAAAACCAACTTGTACACCCTGTTTTTCAATTTGAGGCAGACCCATTTTCTAAAAATGCTGGCTGAAGCCTTGCTGAAAGAACAGTGTATTTGAAGGAGTTAATCATCAAAATGATGTGTACATCAGAGCAGAACTACTATACAGTGTACAGGTAGGCCTACATGTACATTAACCCTGCTTCCAAAATCCTCCAAAATTCTCTTTGCAAAATGGAGGATTTTGCAGGATTGAGGCTACAGTGTACACTAGGCAAAAATGTGTGGCTGATTTTGGAGGATGCACTGTGTCAAGGTCTTGGGCCGATTTTGTGTTGTTTATGCTCCGTCGTGCATAAATTTAGGCTTAGGTTACACTTGAAATCCTCTGCACTGCTCCAGGATGTCACTGGCTCTGCCTCAACATATTAACGGTGCTTGCTGGAGGATTTTGCAGGATTGAGGCAGTGGTCACCCCTCCAAGGACCGTATATTCAAGATACTGGTACAGGCCTAACAGAGGATTTTGCAGGATTGAGGCTGTGTAGTGCAATTTTTACTTACATGGAGACAGTTGGAGGATTTTGCAGGATTGAGGTTGCATCCCAGCAAAAATGCCTCTAGGGAGTTGGGGTTAACCTTAAATTTATCCTCCACGGTCTTCCAAGCTTGGTGGGCGATTGGTACATGTATGTATATTAAAACATCTATAGTTTTGATCCCACAAGCTTTGGGAAGCACTATACAGCAACATACACATAATTTACTGGCTGTAAATTTACCAGTGTGTAAGATTTCAAAACCACTTTTACAATGCAATGAAGAGTGAAAAGATAACGTGCATTGTAGTTGTTGATCATTGCCATCAGCCAGAGAGTGCCAACCATTGTCTGGTCTGTCACGACTCTATGCTTGACTGTATGGATGCATTGAACCCGGTCAGCATGGTCAGTCACTGTGTACCTGCATATAATGTCTGCATTGAGCCATCTCAATCTCATTGCCTTCCACAGCCTAAGGCACTGCAATTACATGATATTTTACCCCGTGCCACTTTTCTGTGAGATCATCTGGATTGTAAAGTTGTAAAGTACATGTATCATGCACTTCCGTGACTTTTGTACGGTGCATGTACATGTTTGTCCACAAATGGAGGAAGGGAAATCAAATAACCCCAAAAAGTACATTTTTGAATTACATACATATTTAGAAAGAGCCAAATCCTTGTACATGGGGAGGCAACAATAATATTATATGTATTTCACATTATCAATGTTTACTGCTTAATCCCAAGAAGTTGCTAAGACTGTATATCATACAAGTATTTAGTAGAAGAAGCCTGTGGTTGAACTGAACTTGGTGTACAGCCAAGTCCAGGTCACTGCCGGCATCATGAGCTGCCAGCAAACAAGGTCATCCTTTGGGAGCCCTCTCACAGCAAGCCATCTCGGTGGAGATCAGTGAAGACGATGGTCTAGGTCCTGATGGAAGATGCAGAAGTTGACACCAAGGAAGAGCTGACCAGCTGTACATGTATGGGCGACCATGACGTGTGGCGTGTCAGGCATCGTGCTCGTCTCAAGCCACGCCTGTTTGAGTCGATGAACTGACTGGAGACGTCCTGATGTTGTCATTATGACAGCATACATGTAGGCCTACTTCTAATGTACAGGTGTATACACGTACATTCTGTAAATGTACACATGTACATGTACAAGCGCCAGAACAACTTTCTGATTTATCTCATATTGAAAGTTACTTGCGAACTGGTATTTAATTTGCTGGCACTCACAATAATGCAACTCGTTCACTTTTCTAGTCATAAAATACAACCAGAATAGAGACCTTCACCCTTCGTACTTTTATTTATATTGAAAACAATATTTTTAGCTTGTGATAGGGTCCCTTTTGCACAGTGTCCTTGTGGGCAAATACATGTAACAGCTGACTACATGTACACTGAGTTGAAAATCTAAGCCTTGTATTAAAGGCAGTTTAGGGAACATTAGGGAGCAAACAGTCAGCCACATGCAACCCAATTTTGAAGACATGTAGA